TCTAGCCCGGGCAACACAGTGAGACTCTGTCTCAAAAAAAAAAAAAAAAAGTGAGAAGGTATAGGCTCCTGGGTTGAACATGAAGCAAAGCTTCTTTTCTCGTATCTCATGTGTGGAATCTAAAAAAGTCTCCCTCATAGAAGAGCAGAATGGGGGTCACCAGGGGCTGGGGGTGGGGGGCGGAGGCTGGGAGATGGCAGTCAAAGGACGCGAAGTTCCAGTTCGGAGGAGGAGCGCAGCACACGGCGTCTGCCATACGGCGCGGTCACTGTCATTAGTAACAGCGCACTGCACACTTGAACGTCGCTGAGAGTAGATTGTAAGTGTTCTCACCACAAAAAAGTAAGCATGGGAGGTAACACACACGTTAATTAGCTCAATTTAGCCATTCCACCGAAGCATCATATTGTACACCATGAACGTATATGATTTTTGTCTATAAAAAAATAATTTTAAATGCATTTATTAAAAAATTAAGAGAGACTTCCCATAAAAATTAATAGAACATAAAATAAACATGGTAAAATGAGCTATAAATTCAATAGAAATTATTCTGACACTGAGATGCAAATTGCAGGAAAACTTTTAAATTACGCCGGTAGTAGAATTTATTAAGAAGATGAGATGCATTTCTAATAGAAGTACCGAAGGTTCATAAACTATTTGATAATCTGATTAATGCATAATAGTGGATCATATAAACATTTGGGGAAATATAAAACGTTCTGCTGATTATACATGAAATACTGACACAGCCAAAGATGGCATCAAACACGTAACAAGCTTCCCTGACATGAATATCAATCACAAGTTGGTTGATAAATGCAATTGAAGGAGAATATAAATCTAGACACTGCGCGAGAAATGTGGGTGCTCTGCAGTTTTGCAGTGCACGTGTGAAAATATTTGATGAGATTTTCCCAGATTTGACAAAGAAACCTGAAAACTTACACAGCTAAGGGAAATTTTTAAAACCACCAAAAAAAAAAAAAAACCATACACACACCAAATTCCAAGCATCCAAGATAGAGGAAAAACTAACACATCTGTGTATTCTCTCTACGGAAAATAAAACCATCGTATGAAGAGGTGGTCAAAGCGAACAAAACACAGTGGAAAAAGCTACTGTGGGAGCAGCGTTCAGACAACGAATTTGATAAAATGATGTTACGTTTCCAGATTTGGTCTTGCTCATGGTATTTTTCTACTTCCGTAAGTCCCTAATTTATTGTGATTTCTTTTCCCATGCTCGTTACCACCTGCAACACACGCAGGCCCCTTCTGAAGCTGCGCCTCCAGCACCGGCGGCCGGACCTCGGTTAGGAGGTTCAGGCTGGAACCACCCGCGTCTACCCGGGCGAGAGCCGGGCGGCGGCACAGTGCCCCCTGGCGGCGGCCCTGGCACAGCCGAGCGCTCTGGGGACAGGTGACCCACAGCCCAGGGGACAGCAGCGGGACTTGCATCTTCCTCCTGGGACCACTGGACGCAGAATCCTTGCATCTTCCGGAGCAGACACTGTCCCTGAGAAATCAAATAAGTAAAATCGTAACATCCCGGGCTGTGTTCTCAAGGACGCTGCAGGCCCACTTTACAACCAAGCTGTACGAAGCATCGAGAAACACCACACCTGCCATCCATACGCCCATCCAAGGACCAGAATAACAGGGCAGTCCTCCAACTCCTGCATGAGGCTCTCGGTGACGGCGCCGAGCTGCTGCTCCCGTCCGCCTGCCGTGTCCCCGTTTGCCGCCAGGGCGAGGTCTGGGGCATGGGCCAGGGGCCCCCACTGGTTCTCAGGAATGACCATGATGCTGAGGCCCCTGGCCGCTTTGTCCCCCGGCCACCTCTTGCCCCAGAGCCCTCCCCGTGCACTCTCCTTGTGTGAGCACCACCAGGCCCCCACAGCGGCCCTCCCGCTTTGCTGGAGGAAGTACACGCCGCGCAGTAGGGATGCCCGTGGGCGCCTGGCGCTGCTCTGAGCCGACTCTGGTGACGGGCGTGTTGCCCCGACCGCAGGCCAGACCTTGCGTCTCCAGGGACTGGCTGACAATGGCGGCACCTGGCCGCTCCCAAGGCCCCACCGAAGCCCGTTCTTACTTCTCTGAAACTCAGCTCTGCCTGCCAGGGGCTTCCTGCCTGTGGGGTCCCATCTTTTCCTCTTAAAATGAAAGTCAGCGTTTCGGTGTCTTCTTCCGTCGCTGGTGGAAGCAGGCCCGTTCAGACGGGTGAGGGCGCGGTGGCCCAGCCCTGGGCCCTGGGGCTGGGGTGGTGGCAGGGGGCATGTTCCTGGGGCCACGGCAGGTGCTGCTCGGGTCGGCCCGTGAGTGTGGTTCCGACTGAGGGGAGGCCTTGGCGGGACGGAACAGGCCGCCAGAGAGCCCGGGCGGGGACCCAGCAGGGAGAGGTGGGACCCAGAGCGCGTCCTGCGTCTGCCCATTTAGCAGAGCGGGGAGGGAGGCTCTGGCCGCGTGGCTTCCCCGGCACCTGAGGCAGGGATGAAGATTCAGACCCTCACCCCAGAGGAGGCTCGGTTCTCCCGGGCCTGTCTCCATGGCCAAGGGCCCTGGGGCCCCCTGGAATCTTCCTTTCTGCCACGTCACACTCGTTCTAAAGCCCATAAAATACCTGTTTCTCTCTCACAAATTATAGCGAAATACGCTCAAGCCACATCCCACAACCCAGAAATGGCTTGAACCTACTGGCTGGATTTACAGGAGATTGCATCAGGGAACAGCATGCCGACCGGCAGGAAGGGGGACGTCCCCTGTACCCACCGTGGCTTCATGACAGGCAAGAACACGGTCAGGCTGGCGCAGGGATCTGTGTGCAACAGGAGGAGGAACAGAGGTGGGGGACAGCTCAGTGCTCAGGGCCCCAGGCCTGCTCACTGGTTTGTCCTCCCCAGGGTGGGTGTTTCCTGACGCAGAGTGGCCCAGTGGACGCCAGCGTGGCCCTGGCAGCATTTGCTGACCCTGTTCCTGGACACGGCCGACAGGTGCCCCTTAGAGGGGAGAGAGACAGGGACAGAGCCAGCCCAGGAGAGTGGCCCTGGGAGGAGCCAACCCTGGCGATGCCTCCTTCTGGGACTTCCGGCCTCCAGGACTGTCAGAGAATAAACGTCTGTGGTTCGAGCCCCAAGTCCGTGATAGCGGCTCCAGCAGCCCCAGCAAACGAGCGCGCCCGCGGCCTCCCCAGGGCGAATGGCCCTCCCCGCTGCCCTAGGCATTTGCTGAAGGCCCTCGCCCTCGCGGCCCTGGGACGCCAGCATGGAAACCCCTCGGCTCCTTCCTTCCCACAGGGACGTGGCCGAGTGAACGTGGCCCTCGCGGCTCGTGCCTTTCACTTCTGTCCTGCAGGTGCCGCTGGCCAGGCCCTGAGGGTGTGCTCGCCCCCTCAACCCCATCGGCACCCCGCTATCTCACCACTGCCCGCGTCAGACGGTCTAAGGGTCATGGGATCTGGAACCTTCTGTGACCTTCTCTAATGCTGGCCTTGGACAGCAGATGCCAGACATGAGAGGCAGAAAGGCCCAGTTCCTACTTGGGCCCAGCCACTTAGCAGCTGGACAACACGTGGAAAGTCTCGGAGAGTCTCCCTGTCTCCACCACGGGTCAACGGTGTGACCCTGGGTGACCTCTTAGCTTTAGTGTCCTTCCTTATAAACCACAGCTCCCCCTTCCCCTTGGAGGGCGACTGTGAACTTGACAAGGCATTGGCTCAGCCGACGGCAGGGCTCAAGGACGCCAGTGTCCCTGCACCCCGTCACCCTCATGAGAAAGGCCAGCATACGTCAGACGTGCCGTGTCCACCGTCATGGGGTGACCCGTGTCCTCCCCAAGAAGGTGTGTTCACGTCCTAACCCAGTCCCTCACAATTGCCCTCTTTGCAAAGAGGGTCATCGCAGATGTCACCAGCTCCAACGGGGTCACCCTGGAGTAGAGCGGGCCCTCTTCCAACGTGACAGGTGTCCTTATGAGGTCGGCCACGAAGCACAGACACCCGGGGAGAAGGCAGAGGTGGCAGCTTGCACCCACAGGCCAAAGGTCGCTGCAAAGCGCCAGGAGCCAGGCAGAGGCAAGGAGTCCCCAACAAGTTTCGGAGGGAGGTGGCCGCCGCCACCTTGATCCCAGATCGCTGCCCACAGGACTGTGAGACCGTGAGTTGCTGTTGGAAGCCACTGAGCTCACGGTCCTCTGTCGCGGGAGCCCTAGGAAACTATCGCACGACCCGACGGAACAGCTCCCAGCTCTGCACGGCATGGAATGCTGGTGCGTGCGCCGTGGGGACACACCGTGAGAACCGTGGGCTCCGCGCGAGCCGCCAGCCACAGAGGACGCGTATGGTCAGATTCCGTTTACGTGAAACGCCCCATTCGGCAAAGGCCCAGAGACAAATGCACGCGAGTGGTGGCCGGGGCGGGGCAGGGGACAGCAGGCGCCAACCGCCAAGGACGAGCTCTCACTTCTGGGGTGACGGGAACGACGTGGATTAGATAGCGCTGACGGACGCAGAATCCCGGAGATATATTTAAAACTAACTTGTAATTGTAGGGGGGAAGGGCATGCCTTTAACCCTCGCTTGGGTGAGGCAAAGACATAAAGTGTAACCATAATGTTTATACCTTCATAATACCCTGAAATAAAAAAAAAAGAAAAAAAAAACTAACTTGTACATTTGTAAAGGGTGAATTTTATCATATGTGAATGTGTTGCATCATTAAAATAAAATAGAATAAAACAAAACAAAAGAAGATGTCTCCGAGGGATCCCCTTTCCTGCCACTGTGGGTGCTCTCCACGCCCCGCCATGGCCCCGCTCGCCCCGGCCTGTCCTCTCCCTTTGCTGTCTCCTCCTCACCGCGCAGTTCTCCACTTAGCACTCATCCTCCAGAACCTTCTCTTTTGCGCCCTGATGGGTTGTTGGCCCTTTGCACGCTGTGGTGTCTGAGTACAGGCACGTCCGCTCATGTCGCCGGTGTCTGTCTGTGTCCGCGTGACGGGCGGAGAACGCAAGCCCTCCGGAGGCAGGAGCCGTCCAGCACGGGCACCACGGCGCCGGGTGCGCCATCCACACGTGACTTCTGGGCCCCGCCCACACCCTGCCCTGTGCCGAGCTGGACTCAAACCCTGACCCCTGCAGCCTCCCTGCCCTGGACACGAAATCTGCCTGGGATTCGACTCCGCGAGGGCAGAGCTCGGCCTGGAAGAGCCACCCGCCTCCCCGACTCCCGGCCGCCTCTGCGTTGCAGGGATGCTGAGCCGGAGGCCGCGGACGTGGGGCAGGACAGGATCCCTTCTGCAAATTCGCCGATCGGCTCGGGATTCTGCAGCAAGTCCTGTCCCCCATCATCTCGTCTCAGGGATGGGTCTGTTTGTCAAAAGGGCTCTCGGGGGAGGACATGTCTCCCGGCTCAGGCCAAGCTCCTTCCCAGGGTCAGACCCCTCCCCAGCTCCCCTGCAGGGCCAGCCCAGGGCGGCGTCACCCCGAGCTGAGGGACCGTGGGGGGAACTGGACAGAGTGGGGGGCACGGAGAGCAGCTGGGCTCTCTGCTGGGTGGTCTCCACGTCTGCACGAGAGGGGGTGCCTGGGGGTCTGCTGTGTCCCAGGAGCCTGCCCTGGCCCGGCTGGGGGCGGTTTTCCGGCGGTTTTTTGGGGGTTGGGGGGGCCCGGCGGGCAGCCCCCCAGGAATTGGGGCAGTGAGGGCCGTGGCTCGTGGGGAGAAGACGGGTGGGGCTCACCTGGGCATGTTGGGGAGGCCGTGGAGGCAGGAGACCTTGGGCTGAAGGGTCCTGACCCCTGGGGCTGTGCTGGGCGGGGGTCTGGGGCAGGTGGGGAGGGGCCCAGCCTGGAGTCTGTCCTCACAAAGGTCACAGGATGGAGAGGGGCGGCTGGGGATGGGGGGCTGTGGGTGACCAGTGGGACGGGAGACTCGGGGTGCACCTGGAGGGAGCTGGCCTGGGGTGCGGCCGCTGGCACCAGGGATGACAGCCAGATGGAGCGGGGCCGGGGCAGGGAGTCACCTGGGACCCCCCCGGGATCCGGGCCTCACTCACCCTCTGCCTGGCGCAGACCCCAGCTCTGCCCCTCTCGCCTTCCAGGGAGACGGAGCTGCCCACCCCCGGCTGCACCCCGCCACCAGCGCCCCGGAGAAGAAGGGAGGAGCCACCGGGTCTGTGCATGGAAACCTGGCGGGTGCTCAGCAAGGTGGGGCCGTGGGCATAGGAGGTGTCAGTGGGAGCAACACCGCGTCACCGGGAGGCCTGTTTTCCTGCTGGGCTTGACCCCCGGCCTCTGTCCCTGCCGTTGCGTCACCAAACCCAGAACCAAGAACCACACGAGCAGTTCAGAGTGTCCATCTCGACCAAGGCCTTGACCCGAGGACGGTGTGTCCCGGGGTCTGGAGGCCAGGCCGTCGGCGTTCCACCAGCCAGAGGGCTCGGCCCCACTGTGCCCTGTTCCAGGTCCTTCCAGGTCGGCGCCATCAGGACCCCTGAGCACACGACCCAGCACCTGAGGGCCGCCCGGGACGCCTGGCAGCTCGGCCGACTCCAGCACTGCCCATTTCGCAGCTGAGACGTCGGTGTCCATGCGCACAGATGAACGGCCGGACGTGCTTCACACGGGAACGACTACCAGGGTGAGGGGCCCCAGGACCACTCTCTGCAGAGTTAGGGTGACAGGCGGCACACTGTGCTCACCCCAGGGACGACAGGCCTGGTCCCCAGCTTTCCTGCCCACCCCTGTGAGGGCCACCCTGCTGGAAGAGAATCTGAGACCGGGGCCTGGGCCACCCCAGGTCAGGGCTGGGGACGCTTCCTGGTGACCCCGAAGGGAGGAGTAAGTCCAGACCAGAGGTGACAACCCTGAGCGCTCATCTACCCATTCATCCTGGGAAAGGAGGCAGGTCCTAGGTAGACCTACAGTCTCCCAAAATCCATGGAGCCAAAGGCTGGAACCTTCCAGAATGCTCTGGCTCCCATCCTCCCCAGGGTCGCCCCAGGCCCGTCTCACCAGGGCATTCTTCTATCCATAGATGTCACCAGGAGTCTGAAAGGTCCCCTCTTCGGGTTCGGGAGAGGCGTGGTCTCTCCTCCTGGAGGACAAGATGAAGGCTGGAACCCCGGCAAGTGCGAGGCCCGGCCCTTCTGCACTTGGCCGGGGGCAGGACACACAGGCCAGGCCCTGCCGGGAGCCCCCGTCTCTGGCTCGAGGGGACGTCGAGCCCGGGGTTGCTCAGTCACACGTACTGGGCTGCCGGAGACCCCCAGGCTGTCCTGCCCGGCAGCAGCGATGTCTTTCTTCTAGGCCCCGGCCCCGAAATCCCTCCCCAGCGCTTCTGCTACTTACATTTGGAAACTGAGAAAATGGTAATTTCCAGGCAAAACTGGCCCACAGGAAGACAAAGAAAGGACAACCCAAAGACCACCCTCATGGGAGGGCCAGGCCCTCCTGGTTAGAGCCGAGGTCCACGTGGTCTTCTCCAGACAGCTCCTCACCCGGGGCTCACAGACCAGGGCACGTGGGTGCTCCCAAGTCATCTCACAAGGCGCTTAGGCTCAACACCAAGCCTAGGAAAGACGGGGCCAGAGAGGAACAGCTAGAAACCCCTTTCACACGCGACCATGCACGTAAGATTCTAAATGTAATCCGCACAGGTCTAGAGCAGCGAGTAGCAGAGAAATGACACAGCGCAGCCAAGAAGGACGTGTCCCAGGAAGCTGAGGAGGCTCCCAGCGGACAGGCACTCAGCATCCCAGCAACACGGTAAGTTAGAACAGCTGGCACGACTCACTCCTTTCCAGAAAGCTGGCAATACGAGCCGGCAGCCAGGTACAAATTGTTAAAAAAATTGTTAAGAAATATCTGAATAGAAATAAAGTCAGTATCATTTTTAAAATAAAGCAATGCCAACTATCTTAGGTGGCTGAAGCCATCGCCATTAAAATCAGGAAGGAGACTCCACAGGTGTCTGCCATCATCGCTGTTGCAGAGACGCTCTGGTCCCAACCCGCACAACCCGGTAACAAAATGAAAGTCGCCGCCACACAGATGGAAGGGAAGAAACGGCACGATGTTCACTTCTCCTGGAGTGCGCTCGGAGCATCGCCACATCCTCCAAACACTCGGGAGATTCTCGAAACACCCGTGCGTCAGGCTGAGCAGGGGATCGGGAGAGGGGGCTGCAGAGAAGAACCAGGTCCCGCCTTTTCCCCTATAAGCAAAACAGCTGAGGACAACATGAAACACGAGTACGAGTGAGGCCGATCGGGACGGCTGAGGGTGCTTACTTCCCTCCATAACTGGGCTGCGAGCAGGGGTGTCACGGCGGTGGGTCCCAGCTCCTCCTGGGTGTATCTAGCGTCGGGGAGGGGCAGTGGGCGCCACAGACGGGCCTGGAAGCCACAGTCCCCAGGCCCAGCTCTCCTGGACCCGGTGGCCTCCTTCCCTCTGCGGGACTCAGCTCGGGGCCCTGGGCAGGAGCCAGCTGGGCACAGAGGCGGCGGCAGCTCCCGCTGTGGCCCTGGCCGGTGGCCTCAGGGAGCAGAGGACCAGGCAGGAGGACCCCGAGAGGGGTCCTGGGAGGAATATTCTGGGGCAGGAAGCTAGGGATGGGGGATGCCCGCCCTCACGTGAGGGGACAGGCCCCGCCCCGGGGGAGAGGGGAGGCTGGGCAGGGGTGTGGCCCCCCAGGGGACTCACCCTCCAGGAGAGGAGGACAGGAGGCCTGACCGGGGCTGGCCTGGTCTCTGTCTAGTTAACAGGTGGCCCAGACGACAGGGAGGGTCTGGGGCCTGGAGGAGCTCTGGGGTCTGACCAGCAGCAGTGGGTGGTCCTCGGCTGTCCCCTTGCCGGGACTGCTGGGCACAGATGGTGATGTGGGCACCGAGGGAGGGCTGGGCTCCAGTGACCCTCCTGACACAAGCAAGACCAAGAGCTTTCTGCAGACAGAAGCTTCCTTTCCTTCCAGAAGTGCTGCCTGCCAGCGACTGCTGCTTGGTACATTCCGAGGCTGTCCTCCTCTTGGCCCTGCCCTGCAGAGAATGAAGGAGCAGGGCAAGGGGTCATCGCCGCACACACCAGGTGGATCTGGACGAGAGCCCCGACCCTTGGGACCAGGTCATGGTCAGGCGGTGGTATGACGTCAAGTGAGGCCACTGGGGGATGGAGGGTGTCGGGGAGATGGGGGATGCAGAGGGAGGGGCATTCCTGGGCGGAGGCATGGGTCCCAGGGGAGGGGGTGACAGAGCCCCCAAGGGCTCTCCTGGCCCAGGGAGCAGCCAGCACCACGTTCTGAGCACCTACTGGGCTCCCAGCCCTGGGCCGGCTGGGCCACGTGGGACCAGATCCCAGGTGGCTCCCAAGGACACAGGCAGCAGCAGCACCCACAGGCTGCGAGGTGACCGTGCTCCCCGGGACACGCCAGGCCCTATGGGGGGGCCCATGGGCCGAGGCGGGAGGGGCTCCTGAGTGATGCCAGGGGTGGGAGGGGCACGTGGGGCCACAGGAACTCTCACCGTGGCTGGGGACACAACGTGGCACAGCCGCCTTGCAAGACAGTCGGGCACTTGCTTACAAAGCTCAACAGACACCTCCCACACGACCCAAACCTGCTCAGAGACATTCGCCCACCGGGTTTCAAAGCTGACATCCACATACAACCTGCGCGCCACATTCGCCGCCCCAGTCATAACCACCAACCACCACCAGCCACCGAGACGATCTTCCACGCAGGAGTGGACACAGACAGGGTGGTCCACCCAGGAAGCAGAAGACAACTCAGTGACACGGGGACACGCCCTGACCAGGGGGGACAGAGAGGGGCCTCGGCCGCGTGAAAGAAGCCAGACCCAAAGGGCCACAACCTGCAGGCTCCGGTGACCGGCCCTTCTGCAGAAGGCCGAGCCCCAGGGCTGAGGACAGAGCAGCGGTCGCCAGGCTGGCGGAGGGAGGCTGGCCTCGCAGGGGACAGGCTGGGGCTCTGAGGACCAAGGAGCTGCGCCCCAGGGGCTGCTGGGGCGGTTCAGCCCCGAGGGACTGCACACGCCGGACACGGAACCTCCACGTGTGCACAGCACAAGCAGGAAGTCAACCAGGACGAGAACCAAACTCATGACCGGCCGAGATATTTGCATTTCACCGCGTGGGGATTTGACCAAACACTGAGGCGTTCAAGTTCAGCGCTTGCTTGGCGGAGCGTCTTAACCCGGCCTGGGTCTCCTCGTCAGGGTTTGTGCGGCAGAATTGCGCTGACAGCATCGGCAGGGAGCAAACAAAACCCTCTTTTCTGTTCCCCAGGCCGCAGGATCTGCTCCTCGTGCCCTGGCGCACGCTGCGCATGGCAGTGAGTGTCCCCGGCAACGACGTGCCCGGGCCACGTCCCCACGCCCACAGGCGTGAGTGTCTCCGAGTGTCGCTGCCTCTTTCAGAACAACGACGCACCGGGCGGTGCCGGGTGGGACTCGGCTCCTGGCACCCGGACCTGCCCACCACGTGCAGGGGGCAACGTCGCCTTCCTCCTGGGCTGCCCCAAGCCCCAGCTGCTCCTCTCAGCGCAGTTCGCTAGTTAGTGAAGGGCCTGGCCAAGCGGCTGCTGTCACAGCCTGAGCGTGGATCCCGGAGAAGACACGTGACTGATGAGAAACACGGCAGGGCCAGCGGCTCCGCTCCCCGCACCCCGAGAGCGCAGGCACAGGGAGGGAGTCGCGCGATGTCTGCTCCGCTCGGCCCCACGTTGCAGGCCGCGCCCCCAGGGAGGGCAGCTGCACTGCCCCGACCCGTGGGCTGCCGTGTTGGGGTGGGCACCCGGCACCGTCATCCTGTGCGTGGCCGTCCGTGCGCCGGCCCTCGGGGGGATGGACGGGCTCGCGGTGCTGCCTGACTCCGCACGGCACCTCGGGAGGGGCCTCGAGGGTCTGCACATGTGCCGTCTCCGGCCACTTGAGCTTGGACGCCGCGGGGGTCTCTCCAGGAACTCTTTGTTCACTGAGATACGCGAGATCCGCTCGGTTCCAACCCGTCGTGTTGGGAGGGGCGCAGAGGCTGCACCCCACATCCCCCGGGGTCTGTGGTAGGTAGGCCACCCTAGTGACCTCTGCCCTCCCAGCTGTCTTCAGCCCTCCCAGGTGACCTCTGCCCTCCCAGGTGATCTCAGCCTTCTCAGACGTCATCAGCCCTCCCAAGTGACTTCCCCCCTATCAAGTGACCTCTACCCTCCCAGGTGACCTCTGTCCTCTCAGATGGCCTCCTTTCACAGTGACCTTGGCTCTTTCAGGAGGCGGGCTACTGCCAGGGCGTACACCACGTCACAGCTGTCCAGCAGAGGACGCATCTGGGTCCTGGCACAGCGGACCTGCCACGAGAACCACGTAATGCGAGAGAGGTGGCAGCTGCTCACAGACTCCGCACTGCCCGGCCAGGTGAACCTGACTCACGGACAACGCACCTTCAGCTCCAAACAGGTTTTGACCTGAACGGTCCCCTATTGAGGGGCCTCAGGGCTGGCCAGGGACCCCCACACCTCGAGCCAGACAGCCCTTGTCCCCATCAGCAAAGGGCACTGCAGCCTCTCAGTGGCCACCTCTGTGTCCTGGAGCCACGGCCCTCTGGCCCGGCCCCGTCCAGCGACTCTTCCCTCCCCGCTGCTCCTTCTGCCTCACGTCTGCGGCCGCCCTCCCAGCCCATGGCCAGACAGAGCCCACATGGCGGTGTCTCCTCATCCTGTGTCCCCAGCCTGGGCCCCAAATGGAGATGGCCACGCACCCTCATCACCCAACCTGGTCACCCCGACGGCCCGGACTGGCCCCTGCACAGCCGCCCCCTCCACATCGCCCTCCCGCACGGGCCTGCCCTTCGGGAACCTCAGCCCAGGGCGTCCGTGGGCAGCGAGCCCAGCCAGGCTCCAGAGCACGTTCCCTCCCCCGCCCCTCCCGTGGCCAAGGCCCCGTGGTGGGGATCACTGGATGGGGGTGGGCAGCCTCAGGATTGGGGGCGCCTGCCCCTCCCAGCTCTTCCAGCTCCACATCGGGGCAAGACTGACTTCCTGGGGTGGGGGCTCCCCAGAGCTCTGGCTGCCCAGCCCCCCTAAGTGCCAGAGGATCCCGGAGCTTCAGGAGCTGACACTCAGATCCTCGCAGACCCGACGCAACACACGGAGAGTGGACGGGCCCGCGGCTGCTGGGGAGAGGCGAGAGTCCCATGGGGTCAGGGGCAGAGGGGAGGCCCAAGCCCCAGCCGGGGCCTGACCTGGGATGTGGGGCTCTCCATGGGTTTGCAGCTGGGTGTCCCCTTCCTCCCCGGAGCGGATCAGAGGCTCTGGGCCCAGGGCTGAGCTCTGGCTGAGGAGGGCTCGGGAGGCATGTCCTCCGGTGTCCCTGAGCCCTGGAGCAGGGAGGGGGCCCTGAGCACCTCTGCTCCTTCCATCCGCACAAGGAGGGCTCCTCCGGGGGCTGCACACCGTGGCCTGGCTCCCACACTGTCCCACGGAGGCGGTGGGGACGCACAGGGAGCCCCCAGCCCAGGGCCCCTCCTGCCCCACAGTGCCCAGCTTCGCAGCCCAGGGGAGGGCCCAGCTCGCTCTGGGCCCAGCTCGCCACGCCCAGAGGAGGTCTGGGCAGGTCCCTGCAAGGCAGAAGAGCCACGCCCTGCCCGAGAGGGCATGGCCCACGGTGGAGGTCAGGGCTCAGGCCAGCATGGTGGGCAGACCCTGACAGGACCCACCTTGGGAAGCCCAGGGAACCTCCTGCCCTCGGGGAGCCCCTTCTTCCGGGAGCCTCCCCCGCCCCGACCCCACCCCCGAGGGACTGCAGGCCTTGTCTGACTCAACCTCAGGGTCTCATCCCACGCAGAGAGGACCCCGGCCCTGCAGACCGAGGCCCCAGTGGGCCCTGCTCAGCCGCTGCCCCCAGCCTGGAAGGACCCTGTCCTCCAATGCCTGCTGTCCCCACAGACCCCCTTCCCACTCACCCTGAGGACATGGGACCTGTATGTCCTGGAGAATAGCACATGCTGGTCAACATCGCGTTTGCAGCCCTCAAATTACACAAAGGTGGTCCCCTGTGCCCGAGGGGAGCACACATGACAGACCTGGCTGGCCCCAGGGCAGCGCTCACCCTGCCCACCTGAGCCTCTGCCCCCGCCCCCGGTCAGGAGGGAGAGAGGGAGGGTGAGCCCGGCCAGGCCTGGTGGGCTGGGCAGCAGGAGTCCTCCCAGCACTAGGCACACCCGGCACGACACACCTGGAAGGTGGGAGAGCAGTCCACACGTCCTCACTGGGACCTCCCTCCAGCCGGGCCTCCTGTGCAGGGGTGGAGTCCAGCGGGGAGCAAGTGCAGGTCCCCAGCCCTCCCAGGGAACCGCTCTTGGCTGATGCCCCCCACCCCATCCCTAGAACATCCCCTCGACCTCTCCGTATTTGCAATGCAGGGGTTCCTGGGGGACTCCTTGTCCCAGGCCTGGGCCATCCCAGACAATGAGGTGCTCAGACTCCTTGGGGCGTCCTCGGCAGAGCTCAGGAGGAAGCACTGGCACCTGCCCCCTCCAGGTGGGCTCCAGCACTAGGTCCCCTCCTGAGTCACCATTCAGGCCAGTGAATAGTGGGGAGGGCCCAGCCACCACAGCCCTGCCCCCTGGCCCCCCTCCCGCTCCCCCTCCCCTTCTTCCTCCTCCTCCTCTTCCTCTTCCTCTACTCTCAGAAGCCCCCAGGGCAGATGCTGACCCTGGGTTCACTGGCCACTGGCCATGCCTCATGCCTCGGGGGACAGGGAAGCCATGTAGACAGGACACCTCCCAGACCCTCCCACTCCCACCCTCGAGGGTGCCCTGAAGGGCACCAGACAGGTGGCACCATGGGGGCCAATGCCCAGACCTGGAGCAGTACCAGCCCCGGAGAGCAGCAGAAGCCCCTCATCCGAGCCCTCCAAGGCGTCAGTCAGCACAGCAGCCCTGAGCCAGGGCGTGGGGAGAGCCGGTGCCCCAGACGCAGGCAGGATTCAGGGAGAGGGCACGGGCGGGACCCTGCCCGGAGCCAGCACCCAAGAGAGCAGCTGAGTGCGGGAACAGCTCAGTCCTGGCATGGAGTGGGCAGCCCCAGGGGCAGAGGGCGACTCAGCCACGGTGCAGACGAGCCCCAAGATAGACGGCAAGGGGGCTGGAGGAGCGTGAGGGCGCGAGGCAGGGGCCAGCCCAGGGTAGCCGGGGGTGCCCAACAGCTCCCCTGTCGCAGGTGGGACGCACCCCTCGCTATGGGGTCAGCTGCCTGCGGGGAGGGGGGGCCTTAGTGTCAGACCGGGAGCCACGCAGGGACCGTGAGGACTCCAGGGACCCAGGTGCAAGGGCCAGATGGGCTGGGGGAGAAGCTGACCAAACTGCTTTCCTTTCAGCCCGACAGAGGAGTGTCCCGGGCAGGTCCTGGGTCTGGAGCCAGCGTGCGCCAGCATCCAGACCCCTCCCCACAGAGGACAGGCCAGTCCCTCCCCGGCCCAGCAGCCCGTGGGGCAGCCCCCTGACTCGGGAGCCCAGTCCTCCCCGATGCCTCGCCTGGCTGTGCTGTCCCCTAGGCTGAGGCCCAGCAGCATGAGGGGCGTCCACAGAGCCCAGGGCAGCCGGCCTCTTGCTGGGGGCCTCGGGCTCAGGCTGTGGCCAGCTGGTCCCTGGCACCAGGTAGACCAGAGGTGGTTTGTAGAGTCCTTTGCTGGGCATCAATGCCTAAGCCCCTGCCACAGCTAGATGTCAGGGGCCCCTGGTTTCCTCATCGTGACTCCTCATCATGACCTGGAGCAAGGCTGCTGGACACCTGACCCCTCTGTATCTGACCACTCCCAGGATCACAAGACAGGGCAGGCCTTCCCACCCAACTGGGGCCCCATCACCAGGCCCTGCCCAGCCCACAGAACACCCAGAGGCAGGCCCAGGGTCATCCCCTGGCATGGTGGGGCCTACATCTGCCCACACTCAGGGACAGTGACCAGCCTGTCCAAAAGGAGCCAGGACAGCCCCCGGTGAGCTGCCTCGCAGCTGACAGCCCCTCAGCCTGGGCACGTCTCTCTGAATGGGGAAGGTTGTCACCTGCAGCAGCGTGCCAGAGAGGTGGGTAAGCGTGGAGTCCCCCCGGCCCTGGACAGCTGGCCGACCCTTGGGACAGAGCCCCCCTCCCAGGGAACAAGTCCCAGAGCCAGAGGCTCCCAGCCCAGCCTCAAGCCAAGCCTGGGAAGAGGAGAGACACCAGGGGCCACAAGGGCCCCCCAGCAGCCAGGATGATCAAACGGAGGCCCAAGCCCCCCAGGGACCAGGAAACCGCCGGTGCTCAGCTCAAGGCAGGGCAGGTGCTATGCGAGCGGCGCGAGCCCTGCTGCTGCCGACTCAGCCGCCGGGTCCCCATGTGCTGCCAGTGCGTGGGTCACCCGGGGCCGCCCTGCCTGCCAGGCGCCAACAGCAAGTGGCCCCCACGGCGAGGGTCGGCAGGAGGAGACCAGCCCCCAACCTCGCCCACAGCAGGAGGCCGGGAGGGACAGGCTCCTGCGCCCGAGTGGCCTCCTCCTGGCCATCGACGGGGCCCTGCCCTCCAAGCAGGAAAAGTGCTCCCCACCCTAGGATGGGATAAAATGGCCCGGCCCTGAAATCTTCCCGCCTGCACTCAAGCGTGTCTTAGAAGAAAACGCCCAGGGAAGGTGGCCTCACTCCAAACAAAGAGCCTGCAAGGCAGGGACCAGAGCCACCAGCAGTCCCTTAGACCTCCCTCTGGGGACAAGCACCCCCCCATGCCCTAAAGTCCCCCCACTTGGTCAAAAAAATAAATTTGTTATTGTTTCCTGCCTGTCCCTTTAGCACCCAAAGCTGCCTGCAGGAAACACTGGACACCCGGGAGCAAGGGGTAGAGGGGGCTCAGCCCAGGCCCCTGACCAGCCACTCTCAGAAAAGGCCGCAGCAGGGCCGGAGCAGGACAGGGCCCGGCTTCCCACCCGCCTCCCGCCCTCAGCAGACGCGAGGGTCCACCATCCAATAATTTACTGGATTCAACCTGGGCCCAACAGGCCTGCAGAGGGCTGGGAGGGGACAGAGGGCTGGGATCCGTTGGCATCTGGGCTGTTCACAGCAGTCTCTGCAAAGCGTCCCTGGGAGGGTCTGCATCACCCCTCTGTCCACCATCCCTGGTTGGCCGGGCTCCAGCAACACTTCCTTCCTTCCTTCCTTTCCTTTTCCTTCCTTCCATCTGCGCTTCCTCTCTGCATCCGGCGCCTCCATGTCCTGAGCCTGTGCCAGGGCAGGGCACAAAGGACACCGTTGACTGCAGGCCAGGGGACCAGCAGGGTCAGGGGATCCTGGGGTCATCAGAGTGGACACGGTGGTTCATCTGGCCAGCAGGGACAGCTGCCCTGGGAGCCGCCTGCCAGGTGCGCGCCTCACCTGCCGTCAGGACAGGACACACTTGCAGCTCATACAGCCGGGGCCACTCTCGTCAGGAGGATTCAGCTTCCGCAGCTTGTGCTGCCGTATCTCGCGCACCAGCGTGTAGAAGGCGTCCTCCACCCCCTGGGAGAGGAGAGGCTGCATCAGTGGCGACCCGGCCTGGGGGCCCAGCAGGGAAGGAGACCTGAGGTCCCCCACCTGGGTGAGAGGAACCCTGCCGCTGGCTCAGACAGAACCCTGGCTGCTGAAGCCCCCAGACTCCACTAGCCCCTTCCCTGGGCCCCCACCTGCAGAACAGGGAGCCAGGCCCTGCTCATCCTGATGCACCCGGGGCCACCCCCACTGGGCAGGCTCACTCTGCAGCAGCCCCTCAGGGGTCAGGGTGGCCCAGGACCTCCTGAACTCCAGCTCTGGCTCGGGACTGACCACCCTGCACCCAGCTCTTGTCTGTTCCCAGTAGCCCCCCTAAGGGCTCAGGACCAACAGGTGCCCATGGGATGCTCTGGGGACAGGAGGGGCCAGGCCCCAGGGTCACCGCTCCGGCCTGGCTCAGGGCAGCTCTCTCCAGGGACCTCCGCCTCCCCTGGAGCTGTGTCAGCCCAGGACTGCAGGGCGTGAGCCCAGACCCCGGCCCTCGCCTCCCTCACTGCCCTGCCGTCTGGGGAGACTTACAGCGCAAGGGGCCGCTGGGTCACATGGGTCCCGGGGGGGTCCCAGAGGGTCCCGGAGCTGGAGCCAGAGCCAGAGCGGCTGCCCTGTGTCAAGGGAGAGGGGGCAATGAGCGCTGCTCCCTGCCTGGGGCGGGGTGGGGCGAGTCCCTGGCTAGCCGGGGTGGCGGGGAGCCGGCTCACCTGCCGGGTCTTGGCCGACGTCTCAATGTAGGGGATGCTGTAGCTGCGGGCCAGGTCCTGAGCCTGCCGAGACTCCACGGTGCGTGCAGCCAGGTCACACTTATTCCCCACCAGCACCATGGGCACGTCGTCCGAATCCTTGACCCGCTTGATCTGCTCCCTGAGAGGGGGAAGGTGTCAGCTGGCTGGCGGGCTGCAGGCATGGGTGCATCCAGGACATGCAGAGAGAGGGCAGGAGACCCCTGTCCAGGCACGGTGGCCTCCCTACCCCACCTGTGCCATGGGCTCCTGGGCCGGCCACACAGGTGGCTCACCTGTACTGATGGATGTCCTCAAAAGACTTGGTGTTGTTGATCGCAAACACGCAGAGAAAGCCCTCTCCAGTGCGCATGTACTGGTCCCGCATGGCGCTGTACTCCTCCTGGCCCGCTGTGTCCAGGATGTCCAGCAGACATGTCTCCCCGTCGATGACCACCTGCTTCCGGTACGAGTCCTGCAGGAGGACATGGCTCAAGGACCCCATCCTCCTTGACGGAGAGTTCACACTGCCAGCCCCTCCCCTGTACCTCTCTGCCCCTTCTCCTGGGGTACGAGGATGACGGGACTCACCACCCCACAGAGGCAGGAGACAGAACCATGCATTGCCATGCGGGCCTGGCTGTGTGGACGCCTGGCCACCTGGGGCCTGCCCTGGTCTGCCCAGAGCCTGGGAGCAGGGGGCTCACCTCTATGGTGGGGTCATACTCATCCACAAAGTGGTTCTGGATCAGCTGGATGGTCAGGGCGCTCTTCCCCACGCCGCCGGCGCCCACCACCACGAGCTTGTACTCCGTCATGGCTCCGCAAGGGCCACAGCCAGCAATGCAGGGACTCCTGCCCCACCTGCCAAGGAGGGCCGCGTTCAGCCACGGCCAGGCCCATGGGGCGGGCCCACCCAGCTCCCTGTGCCCCAGTATCCAGGCAGCAGGGGTGGCGGCCAGGATGGCAGCCCCGCTGCTTACCTGTGGCACCTCCAATCTAGGGGGTGCGAGGGGGCCCTGACTGGCCCCCAGCTGCACTTAATGCCTGTGCAAGAAGTCAGGAGCCAGCCCCCAAAGGCAGGGCTGACAGCTGAGAGCTCCTCCCAACCACGCACCCAAATTAGAAGTTGTTGGGTAGGCAGAAAGCCTAAACTGGAGGCGCCCGAGGGCTGAGGTTGCCAGTCCCCCCACAGAACAGGCCCTGCCGTGGTGGAGAGTGCCATGGCGTGTCCAGGCAGGCCAGCGCCAGCCAACAACCGGCTCTGGGCCCCGCAGGGCATGCTGGTGCACCCACAAGCATTCACTGAGTGCCTACTAAATGCCAGGTGCTGTTCCAGGGGATGGGGCAGAGCAGATCGACGGAGAGCCCCTGCCCTCCCTGGCTCAGCCCGCACCCCAGAGGTCCTTATGGTAACGGGGCCCAGAGCACCCTCCAGCCAGAATGAACCAGGAGAAAACGAAGGGGAAGCGGCTCCCGGGAAGAAGCTGCCCGACAGAAAAGACCCGCAGGAGGCGCAGGAGACAGGCCATTCGGAGAGGCGGAACCCCGACCAGTGACGCCGTCACGGTGCCCGGCGCACGCTGGGCCGCGACCCTCCGCCCCGCCGCGCCCCGCCGCGATGGCCGCCGCGCTTCCCAGGGCGCCGGGCTCTGGCGGGGCCTGGGCCGGGAGCCGCCGCCGAGGACACTCGCGGGACCCGCGGACGGCCGGGGACGCGGCCCGGGTATCGGGCTGGCTGAGAACGCCCGGCCCCCGCCCAACGCCGCAGCGCCCCGCCCGGCGCGGCTCACCTGCGCC